AAAAAAAAAAAAGAAAGGATATGTGGCCCACGCAGAGTGCGTTGGTTTGGGAAGGCGCGCCGGAGTCAAACCCGGCCGTGCCATTTACGGCCTGGATTACAAAGTCTTTACTCCGGTTAGCACGCACAGAAAGGAACATAGCGGACTCGAGGAAGCGACATCGAGAGAGAGGAAGCGGACCGAAGCGAAGTCGAGAGAGAATCTAGAGGGAGCTATGGAGGGTTGGGACACCACCACCAAAGCTACAGTTCAGAAGATTCCTCTCCTTACGACTCATGCAGGGCCTAGAAACGGCGAGCTATGGAAGAGAAGGCTCAAAGAAGAGTACTTGGTTTGCACACTGCACTCAGCTCTCTCCGACAGTTCACCCGTTTTATTTGTTTCTCTGGTTCGGGCGATTGACCGAGTCTGCCGCTTGTCGCTTCCCCTCTTTGCCTAACCCCAGTGGCCGTCCTCTACGAACCTCTTCCCCTCTCTTTGCTTTGAGCTGTTGGCTCTGCGCTCGCCGTTACACTTCGTTTACCACCTTGTCACTCCCCACTCTTGTCCGTGTGTTTGTCTAGCTTTGTGTCGCTGCGGCTCTTTGCCGAATGCCTCGACGTACTTGGTCTCGTAATGACACACTTGCATCTATATCTATATCTTTATATAGATGTATTCCGCCGCTTTGAGCAGAGATCCACTTTCCGCTGCTAAAGAGTCAGAATAGCACGTGGGATCGAGCTGCCGCCGTCCCCTCGATGAGACGGATGGGGAATCTTGGTCTGCACAGCACGGAGACCACGGGCAGCCTGTTGTCTTCAGCCCTGTAAGCAGTATGTAAGCAGTATCTACGGGCGGAGGGGAGCACGCGCACATAGACAAAAACACACACACACAGGCACACACACACACACACACACACACACACACAGACGGGAATACGACTCGGGCCAGCTCTCACGCCATTCTTTCCGTTTTTCCTTTTCCTTTGTGCCTTTTTTATCTGGTAAGGTTCCCAACAACTAGGACTACTAGGTCGCACAGGGTGCTTAGTCCCTTGCGGGAATGGATGCCATGATATTGCCGTATCGTTTGCGTGTACGTTTGTGCGGATCTCGTGAGCGACTTGTGGCTGTTCAGCTGTGTACGTCTGCACGGTACCAAACCAAAGATAACCAATGGACGACAACTTCCCCCGGACGAAAAATACTACGACATCCCCAGGGCGAAAATGAAATCCGGCGACCAACAATTCGCCATGTCGACAACTCCACCTAAACCAGCGCAAAGATCCAGATGGCTTCCCCAGCATGTATCCATGGGACAGAGCCAATTGACATGCGCTTAACGGATGCCACGTCACCTTCTCCCCCCGCCCACTGCCTCCGTCCGAAAAAGAACACTCTCCTCGTGTTGCACCGGCCGTCAACCATGCACCCCCGCCAAAACTGCCCAGTTATGGCACTTGAAGAAAACACATTCATGAATGTCAGCGGAGAATATGAATTGTCTTCCTTCTTTACATCACGTTTATGGTTGCATGCGTTCCTTCCACTGCTCTGCTCACGCTCATACGCTGCGACGCTCCTCTCTACCACCTCCGCGTCACAGCCTGTATGTCGTCCTCCGGGGACCAAGTTCGGACCGCCCCGTGCAGGTAACCTCTCTCGCGTAGGGGGGGCTCCATATGCGCCATGTACAACGCGTTCCCGTTGTCGGACCAAATACCGTTACAAGGGTATTTGGCCAAACTTTTGTATTTGACACGGTGACGGCGTCGGCTACCATGGTGAAGCCAATCTGAGATGAAATGATTGTGGACGCTTTGGCGTGACACTTGAAACGGTTTCCTCGGCCATTGAGGTCGAGACGAATCGGTGAGAAAATTTCGAAAATATGCGCGCGCATTGTTATGACGCGCGTTGTGATGGTTATGATTAGTAGTGATACTTTCCGATCGAGAAGGTCGAAGGGTTTATTGGGTAAGTGTCGCGTCGGGTAGATCGTCGACACAAGCGATACTTGGGCTGGTACCTGTCAAACTACCAATACTTGGCCCCTAAAATACCAACTTCTGTCTTCTTCTGCTCGGTCTTGAATACTTGGCATATCTACCTCTACTTGATGTGGTACCGTCCCACCTGTTATTTGAGTATTTTTTCACGGCTCTTAGCTGCTGCGGACCTCTTTTTCTCGCCACTTGAGTGTTTTCCCTCCGCGACCCTCTTTTGCGCGGCCACAGTTAAGTACCGGCCTTTCGGGCCTTCCGACCAACCAAGCACCCTTGCGGGTCACACACAGACTCAAGCCGACAAGGACCTAGACAAGCACGCAGACCCGCAAGAGTGCACAAGATCACCAACTTAGAAATAGGTCTGACCGCTAGTTGGGCTGGGCCAAACCTCTATACAGAATAGAGTTGCTCCTCTTCCTTCCGAAGTGGGAGCTAGCTCAGTAGGTTTCAAGGTGGGTTGTTAAACGACAGACTCAGGGATCGAGCCAGGCTGACCCTGAGCTAGCTCCCTTTTAGCAGGGAACGTAAACTACGATTTTTGCCCCGCGTTCGGTTGGTGATTTAAACCCGTGACCTTGAAATTGGAGTAAGCTGCAGTTAGACCCCGTTGTGACAGTTGGCACGATGGGGTGGTTAGAAGTTGAATTTTTCTTTTGTTATTTTTTATTATTATTTTTATTTAGATTCGTTTTTTTTTTAATATTATTTTTTTAGTTGTTATTATTTATTTTATTTCGGGCCCGTGGCTATTCTTCATAAATTCAATTAGTAAATCCACCTCCGAAATCGTGGCAGATTCGGCCAAGTCGTTCGTTTGGCCGAGATCGCGAAC